CGACTCACGCCCACCCCTGGAACTCCGGTAGGCGGTGTCCTGTTGCCTGGGAGCGCTCACAGGGAAAGCAGCTCTTTTGGTGGTCCAACTCCTCTCCTCATGCCCCCTCCCCATAATAGCACCTTGCCTCTCTGGCAGGCCCAGGCTTCTTCCAAGTACCCCCCTCAGTGTCCACACTCCAGCCTCTTCAGGCTGTCTCCATGCAGCCATCCCCGGTCCTCTCCCTGGGTCTGACCTCTGAAGCCTGAGCTTTAGCACCCAGCCCCCACCTGCACCGAAAGATGAGAGTCTCAGGCTGGGGAGCGCAGGGTGGCGGTGCCGACCCTCTCTGCAGGTTACTCTCCGTTTTGCCTTCCGCAGACCAGTTGCTGCACTCTCCTCCGAGGCTCTGAAGCTCCCCCTCCGTCCAGGCTCATCTCCCTGCCAGTGAGGAGACTTCTCAAGGTGCGGAAATCTTTCCTCCTTCACAGCTCCCGCCTTGGGGCGCAAGCCCCATCCTGATTTTTTTCTTTTTCTTTTTCCTTTCGTCCTATGCAGTTACATGGAGGTTTCCTTGCCCTTTCGGAAGTCTGAGGCCTTCTGCCGGCATTCAGTAGGTGTTCTGTGCGCGTTGTTCCACTTGTAGGTGTATTTTTAATGTTTTTGTGGGAGCAGGTGAGCTCCCCAGCCTGTTCCTCTGCCATCTTGATCCCACCCCTTCTATCTGGTGCGTTTTAACCTCTTTCCTGTAGGTAAGGACTGCCGTCGGGGAAGCGGAGCTATTGTCGGAGGTGGATCAGTACCTCTTGGCAGGATAATAAATTGCTCGTCAGGAGCGTGGCAGTGTCATGCAGTTAATTTATGTGCCTTAAATCCATCAAAACCTGGGATGACGCTTAGGTCATCAAAATAGTCCTGAGATACGTACAGCTTGAGAGTGTCTGATTTTGGGGGGCCCCCAAAGGCAGGGGGCCATGGAGACAGGCTTCCAAGAGTCTGGACAGACCTGACTGCACACACACTTTTGGTGCTCACCCTTCCTGCCACTGGGAACCTTTTGTCTTATATAATCTCTTTGGATCCCCCAGCCCCTGCATAGGGCTGGGTGTGTAACTGGTACTGAACACTGGAAATCACCTCATGAAACCCGTTCTTGGTGTCTAGGGTGGCCTCCCCTGGAGGTGGAAAGGGTGGCAGGACTCGCATAGCTAAGAACCCTTACTAAGGCCAGCAGTCCTGATCCCTGATTCAGGAACTGACGTCCCAGTGATCCTTTTACTAGTTGGGACTCCTGGTGGCAAGTGACAGAAAGGAAGGGGGCGGACTGGCTCGGGTCAGCAGGCATGAGGGCCCCGCTCTCCTCCTCTGTGCAGCTCCCACCTCGGGCAGCACTTCCGCTCCCAGCCTCGGTTCAGTCTGTCAGCAGCCCCAGGAACAGAGCTGGCCTCACCCCCTGCAGCTGAGTAAACATCGTAGACTAGAGTCTCCTGGGCCCATCCTGGGTGTGGGGCCCATCAGAGTCTCCTGGACGCATCCTGGGTGTGGGGCCCATCAGAGTCTCCTGGGCCCATCCTGGGTGTGGGGCCCGTCAGAGTCTCCTGGGCCCATCCTGGGTGTGGGGCCTGTCAGAGTCTCCTGGGCCCATCCTGGGTGTGGGCCCGTCACAATGGCTGGGAGGATGCTGGAGCCCAGGGATGCACCACTTTGGCCAGCCCAGTGCCCTGCCTTGGATCCCGTGTCTAAACAGCCTGGAGTGGAGGAGGGTGGTTCCTGAGAACAGCTGGATGTTGGGGCAAGCAGGAGGGGGCCGTGCTGGCTTGCGTGTCCGCCACGCCCGCCCATGGTCACACCTACCTCGGCAGCATCCACCGCCGTCTCAGCCTGCATCTCCTCTGGGCCTGGAGAAGGGCAGCTGGGCGAGCACCGCAGCGGATGTTAGTGAGGTGAGCTTTATGCACCATATGCGTCTTAGCTTCGTCATTGAGTCCAGTCAAGTGGTCACTCTGTGCCGGGTCCCATCAGCACCACACACGGTCCCTGCCTTCAGGGGCCAGAGACGCAGGAGGCAGATAAGCGCATGATGCTAAGTTGTGACGGGTGCTGCGAAGGCAGAAGTAGGGGAGGTGTGGGAGGGGGTGACCTCAACAAGGTGGCCGCTCTCAGGAGGCGCGAGAGTGAGCCACTCAGGAAAAATGGGGTGGGCAGGGGCGCATTCCAGGCAGAAGAACAGCACGTGAAAAGGTCCTGAGGCCAGTGACAAGCCCGGCGCAGCCTGAGGGGCAGCTCTTTGGGACGTGGCAGGATGTGAGGACACAGGGGTAGCCAGTGGAGACCTGGAGGCCACAGTAGGGACCTGGGATTTTACTGAGGGTGCTGGGACAGCCCTGGAGAGTTTTGAGCTGGGCGTGGTGTGATCCAGGTGATGCTGTTTAAAAGGTTCTGGTGTCTGGATGAATTCAGACCCTGGGGGGCACAAGCAGAAGCAGAGGCTGGTGAGGGGCGTTTCTGTTAGTCCAGGGGAGAGACGGGTTGGGGGGAGGGTCAGGCCCAGGGCTTGTGTAGGAGGCGCGGCCACAGGACATGTGGTGGCCTGGTTGTTGGGATGATGGGATGTGAGCACCAAGGAGCGTGTTGGTGGCATTTCCCAGATCGGGGGAGGAGCAGGTTTGGGGGAAATGCTGGACATGTTACGGCTGAGGTAATGCTTCGGCTTCCGGGTATATTTCTGGTGGAGGTGAGTAGCCTGAGGTGGGGCACGGCGTCCAGGGCCCCTGGCTTTCAGGCCTGTCCTCCCACACTGCTGGCCTGGAGCTGAAGGGCAGCCCTGGGCACCCGTGGGCCTGGGTGGAGACTCGATTCACAGTCTCTGCAGCCCCCTCCCTGTGTCTGGGCCTCTGCCTCCTTGTCTGTTAACTGGGGCCAGTGAGATTCTCCAACCCCCCCAGAATCCTGGTGCTTCGGGGCTGTCCCTGGAAGACTGGCTCAGGTCTGGGCGCCTCCTGGGAGGAGGCGGGACAGACGGGGAGGCGGCCCTCCTGGCAGGTGCTGCTGCTCTCGGCTCTGCTCAGAGGAGCCTGGGCCGGCAGCCGTCTGGGGGTGGGAACCCGCTTGGGTGTGTCCGTGCGTCGCGGGCCCTCGGCCGGGGCGGGAGTTGGCGTCAGCGGGCAGGCATCCTGGTGCTGAGCGAGACAGAGTCAGCTCGGGGGCCCCGGGCTGCCCACTTAACTTGACCTCATTCTCAGGGCAAACGTGGCTGCTCTGTTGGGGTTTGCCCTGCTTTTTGGCACCTTCTCAGTCTTTGAGTCCTGCTTCGTCCTGCCCTTAACGCCCTCCAAAGGGAGTCTCCCCCTGAATCCCTCCTAGGGCGGCCCTGTTAGCAGCCCCCCAGAGTGGAGGGGGGCCCAGCCCATTCCCACAGCCTCAGTGCCAGCTGCTTCAGCATGGACCTGGGCCCGCAAGGGAGGGAAGCGTGCCACGCGGGGCCAGAAAACCCAAGAGGGCCTTCGCCTGACGGGCTGAGAGTGTGTGTCCACATGTGACTGTGGGAGGAAAGCAGGGCCGTCCACTCTCTGGCTAGCCCCAGGGCCAGGCCCTGTGGGCAGCCTCTGAGCCTACTGCCCCCCAGGAGCAGCTACTAGTGACGTCCTGTTTGCATGGCAGAGAGCTGGCATTCCAACCCGGGGCTGTCTGTAAAGTGAGTCCAGGAGGAGCTGGGCACCATGCATGGGTGTGCAAGCCCCAGCATTCAAGGCTACGTCCACGTGGAGCTCAGAAGCAGCCTGGTTTCCTGGCTGGGGTGGGGCACAGGGCGAGGGCAGTGAGGTGCTCAGGGGCCCAGAGCAGGTGGGGCCTGTGGAACAGCAGGAACCGAGGTCAAGCCTCAGCATCAGGGCCCTGAACTGGAGACCTCGGAGCCAGTCCCCCAGGTGGCACACAGATCACAGGCCACGTCCCTCCAACAGCCCAGACACACGGGAGCCAGATGGACAGTCACCAGGTGGATGGCCACATTTGGGAAAGTGCCCGGTGATCAAGGAGGCAGAAGCCAGAATGAGGATTTAGCTGTCACGTGAGATTTGGGGAGCTGTGCTGCAAGGCTGGAATTCAGGTTGGGCAATTCAGACCGGGGGGCGGGGGGCGCTTCTCAGGAGGCCTCTATGGCCAGGTCAGCGCAGTCTCTCATCTCTGCAGTGCCTGGCTCCAGGGCCAGGCTCGGGGGTCAAGCTCTGTAAACAATTGCCAACGAGTGAGGGACTCTCAGAGGCCTGAGCAGAGCAGGGACTTCGTCTCACAATAGAGAAAACTAAGTTGCAGAGGAGGGGAGAGGTGCCCTAGGGCAGGTGGTAGAGTGGGGACCACCGTGTACAGCCTGGACGTCGGGTGCAGCACTCTCCTGCCCCTGTGGGCTGCACACGGACCCCCTCAGGCGAACCTCTAACCTGGAGCTCAGTGCTCCGCGGTGGCAGGTTTGCACTGAGGGACACTGACGGGTCATCGGCCCGCAGTCCGCCTGGAGCTCGGGGGCCAGAGCAGCAAGGCCAGGCCCAGCCCCTGTGTCTTCCCTGCCCCAGCCCGGGAGCAGGGGCCTTGCCCGGGCAGCTCTGATCACGTCACTCGGTGGCTTCCCTGGCTCTTTGCCAGGAGAGGAGTGAGCAAGGGAGAGAGCAGTGCACTTGGACAATAATTTACAATCCAGTGACGCATGAGATCGCAGCCTTCCTTTACCAGATTATTACTTAAGTACAAAATTGACTTGGAGTGGGGAGTGGGGGGAGTTTACACTTCTGAAAATAAAAATGAAACAGAAGGGGGTTTTTCTGGCCTCCTTACCAGTGGGAAGGAGGAAGCCCAGGCTTCTGGGGTCAGGATGCTGAATGCATTTTACTTTTTGGCCCCTTTCTCTTGAGGCCTAGGATCTTTGCCTGCCGCCTGAGCCTCTTTCCCATAGTACCACAGTGGGGTCTTGGGTCATGCCATCGGCCAGACTTTAATTCAAGTGCTTTGGAATCCCCACGTTCCAGCTGGCGACGAGCCTGTGTCTGTCTGCTCTGGGGACCCACACTCTGAGCCCCAAGTCCCGGGCCCGGCAGAGGACGCCAGACAAGGGGGCAGGTGGAGCGTTCACTGTGGCCCGGGAGCCTGGAGTCGCCTGTCGGGACCAGGGAGGCTCCGATGGCTACAGGTTTTCCTGCTGCTTTGGTTGAGGCAAATCTGGATTGCTTTAGCGTCCCGCTGTCACCCAGGACCTTGTCTTGGCCTCCCCTTGGGACCTCGGAATCGAGCAGGTGTCCAGAGGGTGAGCCACAGGCCAGCTGGCCTCATCTCCACACCTTGCTTATCGCAGCTGGGTCCGGAGGCCTCTGGAGAGCCCTGGATTTGCAGAATATGTCTATGCTGAGCGCTTGGGCTGTGACAGCAGTTCTTGGGGAACTTTCCAAGGGCAAGGGGTGTGAGGGGTGTGGCCAGGGCTGCTTGGAGCCCAGCTCAGGACAGGGTGCGCTGGGAGCAGAGGGGGGTGTAAGGCTCTGCTTGGGGTCTGTGGCTCCTTGGGAATGGCTTTCAAAAGTCTCCCTGCAGGAATCCCAGTCTCATTGGGCCAATGGGGGGTAGAGATTGGGCTGGAACCAGACAGCCCACAAGGGAATTCTGGCTGCAGCACGTGGGGCAGCCACTTTGCATCTCTGAGCCTTGGCTTCCCCGGCTGAAGAATGGGGCCACACAGTAGCAGCCCCGGACGGTGGAATGCGTCCAGAGCACATGCTCCTTAGCACTGCCCTGCTGGCTTCTTAACCAGGCTGGGGACACTATTGCACGTTCTAGCAACCACGGGAGGCAGCTGCAGCTCGAGGTCACCCAAGGAGGCTCGTATCCAGAGCTGGTGCAAAAGCGGTTGGTCTGAACCCCAGCCTCTACCACCTGAGTCGTCCTTGGCTGGCAGATTGAGGGGTGGGGCTTGGGCCGGGTTTGGCAGAGCTGAGCAGAGAGCAGGGGTGGAGGGGGCGGGCCGGCCATGCTTGGGGGCTGAGCGGGGAGCTGCGGGGGTGCCAGGCCCTGGCCCCTCTCACCTGTGGCCTTGTCCCCCCCCGGCAGGTTGGCTCAGCATGTCAGTCAGCGTCCATGAGACCCGCAAGTCGCGGAGCAGCACGGGCTCCATGAACATCACGCTGTTCCACAAGGCCTCGCACCCCGACTGCGTGCTGGCGCACCTCAACACGCTGCGCAAGCACCGCATGTTCACGGACGTCACGCTCTGGGCCGGCGACCGCGCCTTCCCCTGCCACCGCGCCGTGCTGGCCGCCTCCAGCCGCTACTTCGAGGCCATGTTCAGCCACGGCCTGCGGGAGAGCCGCGACGACACGGTCAACTTCCAGGACAACCTGCACCCCGAGGTGCTGGAGCTGCTGCTGGACTTCGCCTACTCGTCCCGCATCGTCATCAATGAGGAGAACGCAGAGTCGCTGCTCGAGGCGGGTGACATGCTGCAGTTCCATGACGTGCGTGATGCAGCCGCCGAGTTCCTGGAGAAGAACCTGTTCCCGTCCAACTGCCTGGGCATGATGCTGCTGTCGGACGCCCACCAGTGCCGCCGGCTCTACGAGTTCTCGTGGCGCATGTGCCTGGTGCACTTCGAGGCCGTGCGGCAGAGCGAGGACTTCAACAGCCTGTCCAAGGACACCCTGCTGGACCTCATCTCGAGTGACGAGCTGGAGGCGGAGGACGAGCGTGTGGTCTTTGAGGCCATCCTGCAGTGGGTCAGGCACGACCTGGAGCGGCGCAAGGCCCACCTGCCCGAGCTGCTGCGCGGCGTGCGGCTGGCCCTGCTGCCATCCGACTGCCTGAAGGAGGCCGTGTCGGGTGAGGCCCTGCTCATGGCCGACGAGCGCACCCGGCTCATCGTGGACGAGGCGCTGCGCTGCAAGGCCCGCATCCTACAGAACGACGGCGTGGTCACCAGCCCCTGTGCCCGGCCGCGCAGGGCCGGACACACGCTGCTCATCCTCGGGGGCCAGACCTTCATGTGTGACAAGATCTACCAGGTGGACCACAAGGCCAAGGAGATCATCCCCAAGGCGGACCTGCCCAGCCCCCGCAAGGAGTTCAGCGCCTCGGCCATCGGCTGCAAGGTCTATGTGACCGGGGGCCGGGGCTCCGAGAACGGGGTCTCTAAGGACGTGTGGGTGTACAACACCGTCCACGAGGAGTGGTCCAAGGCGGCGCCCATGCTCATCGCCCGCTTCGGCCACGGCTCGGCCGAGCTGGAGAACTGCCTCTACGTGGTCGGAGGGCACACGTCCCTGGCTGGCGTCTTCCCGGCCTCGCCGTCTGTCTCCCTGAAGCAGGTGGAGAAGTACGACCCCGGGGCTAACAAGTGGACGATGGTGGCCCCGCTGAGGGATGGCGTCAGCAATGCCGCAGTCGTGAGCGCCAAGCTGAAGCTCTTTGTCTTCGGGGGGACCAGCATCCACCGGGACATGGTGTCCAAAGTCCAGTGCTACGACCCTGCAGAGAACCGGTGGACGATCAAGGCCGAGTGTCCCCAGCCTTGGCGGTACACCGCTGCCGCCGTCCTGGGCAGCCAGATATTCATCATGGGAGGCGACACGGAGTACACAGCTGCCTCGGCCTACCGCTTCGACTGCGAGACCAACCAGTGGACGCGGATCGGGGACATGACTGCCAAGCGCATGTCCTGCCACGCCCTGGCCTCGGGCAACAAGCTCTACGTGGTGGGGGGCTACTTCGGGACCCAGCGGTGTAAGACCCTGGACTGCTATGACCCCACCTCGGACACGTGGAACTGCATCACCACCGTGCCCTACTCGCTCATCCCCACGGCCTTCGTCAGCACCTGGAAGCACCTGCCCGCATGAGGCGCACCTGTAGAGCCCAACAAGGTGAGCCCCCGCACCCCAGGCCTGATCCCACCCCAGGTAAAGGCTGCATCTTCCGCAGAAGGCCGGGCGAGGCAGGACAGCAGGTGACTGGGGGGCTCTGGGACCCTTTTTCAACTCTGGAGCCGGAGCCTGGCTCTGCCCCTTACTTGCAGTTGATCTTGAGCAAAACACATAACCCCTCTGCCAAATGGGGGTGACAATCTTAGACTGGGGCGGTGGTTCCCAGGCATGGCCGCAGGTCAGAGTCCCCGGGGGGCCTTTTGACAATCCTATGTGGAGTCTAGGCCAACCTGTGAAGTCTAAGGGCACAGTCTCCACACAAGGGCACCCTCCCTCTGACACCAGCTGCGAGGTCAGGGTTCCCCAGAACCGTCTCAGATCCAGCACTCACTGGAAGGACTCATGAATGTGCTGAAGGCATATGTGCACGGTTATGGTTTATTATGGGCAAAGGATACAGCTTAAGATCAGAGGGCAGAGATGCATGGGTCAGAGTCCTGGACAGGGGTCCAAATGCAAAGCATCCCTTGTCCACTCCCCATGGAGTTGGGACACTGTCACTCTTGTAGCATCAGTGAGTGACAGCACGCACGGAATGCTGCCTGCCAGGGGAGCTCACAGAAGCTGCGGTGTCCAGAATTTTTAGCGGGGCCCCATCACGTGGGCATGACCGATTGCTCATGTCCCCGTGGTTACTCTCAAGTCAGCTGGTCCAGTGTGACCCAAAGCCCCCACCCTAAACAGACACTCCTATCAGGTGTGACCCAGATCACCTCCCAGAAGCCAAGGGCAAAGGCCAGATCTCTGTTGGGGCAAAGGCCACAACTTCTGTCCTACTCAGATGCTAAGCCCAGGCCTCTCCCTAGGCCATTCGGGGCCTCTGGGGCCCAGGCCTCAGTAGTCGTTATAGCTCCAGGTGAGTCCAGTGTGCAGCCAAGGTGAGAGCCCCACCATGGGGGGCCCTTGAGAGGCAGCAGGAGGGGAGTGGATGGAGGGCTCAAAGGGAGGCGGGAGCTGGCGCCCTGGGGTCGGGTGCCACTGTGGACATCCGGTAGTTCCAGGGCTCTGGGACCAGACGGCCCTGGGATTGGGTCCTGCCTCTCCTGGGGGCAGCTGTGTGCTCACTGGTGTGCGAAGGAACCTCTTGTCTCCCATCCCTCCGCAAGATGGAGAGAAGGCCTTCCTCAGAGCGGGCGTCACAATTACGTGAGGGAATAGCCCCTAGCAGGGCTTGCTGCAGTGCTGCCCCAGTTACCCCAAGTTATCTTGCTCTGTTCTTAGCGCCATCATTATATGAAATCATTGCCTGAAAAGGGAAGGTGACAGTGGATGCCAGGGGCAAAGGGACACATTCAGGCACTCTTTGTGGGTGACAGAGGAACAGGGAGACAGGAAGAGGGACTTGCCCAGGTCCCAGGACGGGTGCAGAGTCAGGGGAAGGGAGAGGGTGGAAGGAAGGACCAGCATGTCCTGGAGGGCCTCTTCTGAGGGGTGGGCGGGACCTTTCCTGTAGCTCCGCTGGGGCAGGATGCACAGCAGGCACTGAGGTTGGATTAGGGTGTCCTGAGCCAGCCTGGCAGGGGCGCAGGGGCAGGGGCTGGAATGGAGTGGTGGACTCATGGGCACTGGAGAAGGCCGTCCATGGTCAGGTCCCAACTCTTAGCCCTCCTCGGGTCCTTGGCCCTTGGGGTGGTGAGGTGTGGGGACCCCCGGTGGATGGGAGTCAGGAAGCATAGGTCCTGGGTGCTCTAAGAAGCGGGGTCGGTGGGAGATCCCAGGGTCACACAGGGGGAGCCTTCCCACCTGGCCCCGGGCTGTCCTGTCCACCAAAGTGCTTCTCTGCCTGGCTGGCCCAGCCCCTCCCTGCCCACACCTGCCTTGTGCTCCTGCAGCTCTGAGGAGCCAGCCCCGTGCCGTTCAGGTCACAGGAACCCCGTCAGGAGCTGGCCAGAGCGGAGAAATTAATTTCCTCAATGACCTGGCGGCTGGTGACAAGAACGCTGAAAGCTCTGCACGGCGAAAGCAATCGTACTTAGCTGGGATTGCTTCTGAATGGAATCTGATGTCTCAGCTATTAAATCAAATCCAGCCGTGCCTTCGAGGCCCTTAAAGAGGTATGTCCTCTGGCAGGCAAGGCAGGCAGGGCAGGACCCAGCGAAGGCATCAGGTGTGCCGTAGGGGGTGTCTGGCCTCATAAAGGCCAGCCTGGATGAGAATAGGCTTTGTTCTCCTTTAAGGTTTCTCTGCTTTTTGTTTTAATGTGCTGTCTTCCTCTTTGGGAGAAAAATCTGACCAGCAAAATATCTTGGTCCTGGGGAATAGGCTTCAAAGAGAACACTGGCGTTTCCTTGTTGAGTCCCTGTTCCCACACTCTGGGAACTTAGGCTGGTCACCTGTGGGGCCCAAAGGCTCCTCCCATCTCGGGCCACCCAGCCCAGGTGGCTCTGACCCTGTCTGGTGTTTGCCCATCCCCGGGACCCTGGAGGGCAGTTCTTCCCCAAGCGGGAGAGCGTGGGGGGTAGGTCAGCCGGACCCAGTGAGCCCTTTACTTTTCCAGGACTTCCCCCCGTTTCAGGGACCGTGGAAGGGGCGGCTCTGACTCTTGCTGGCTGCTTGACCCTGGTTGCTTAACTTCTCTGAGCTTCAGCTTTCTCATCTGGAAAACGGGAATAAAAACTATTACTCACAGTAGTTGAGGAGGAGAGACCAAGTGAGGGGCTGGGTTCAGAGTCCGCTTTTGTATGAGGTTGCGAGGAGGAGGGGACGGTGGTGATAATGGTTTCGGGATGCTTTGGGCGCAGGGACCTCTGGATGTCCCTGGGCCAGCCCCTCCTTCTGGAAGGGTCCATCCCTCACAGTCGGGATCGCACTTGCCATTGCCTGGCTGAGTGCCACACGGGCCTTGTTCCTTCCGTGCTCCCCAGCCCACGGCGTGGGTGCTGTGGTCTCAGGAATGAGGATGTGGCGGGCACTGGGGTAGGAAGCTGATGCCTGGGCCCGTCCAGGCCTCCCTCAGCTCCTGGGAAGCGGGGCTTTGTGGCAGGAAGTCTCCCTCGCTCTGCTGCTGCTGGGGCAGTCGCCACAGTGCTGCCAGGACCCGCTGGAGGAGCAGCTCTACTCGGAAGGCCGCAGACCGGGTGGTCCTGAGCCAGGGGGCTACGGCAGGTAGGGGGGATGGGAGGGGCCTGTGACAGCAGTGGTGGCTAAGGGGCTGGGCCCACGCACCCTCGACAAGGCTGCAGGTCGTGACGAGCAGAGATTAGCACGCCTGCTGCCCCTCCGGTATGGGCCCCCCACTCTCCACCCAGTGCCGGGGCCAGAGAATGGGGTCTGTACCCAGTGCGTCCCCCGAGTGCCCCTCCCTGCTCTACTGTCCCAGTCCCTCCTGCAGGCATAGGACCGGCCTGGGGTCCTATCTGCAGTGCCTCTCTGGTCCCCGAACCCCACGTCCATCTCTTAAGACTCCACTTAGCTTCAGGAACCACCAGCCAGAGCCCTGCGCTCTGCAGCCCCTCCCCGTCACCCTGAGTGACTTCCCCCATTCGTCCCCAAGTGCTTTGTTCCCCCATCTCGGACACCACTCGTGAGCTCTGGGTGGCACCTGCATCCACGCCAGGTGCCCCAGCCGTGCGCTCATTTAACCCTCTCAGAAGCATTTGTCATCGTGGCTGCTGTTATGGACCTGGCACCTGAGACTCAGCGTAGGTGGCTGGCATCACACTAACAGCTGGTGAGGGTTGGAGTGGCATCTGAGCCCTGGAGCTGCCTCAGGCCTGCAGGCTTCTCTGGAGACCTGGGCACTGGGCACCCCACATCTGCACCCTGGTGCCGAGGGTGGGCCACACGGGTGCTGCCCGGCAGTGGGGGTGGAGTGCTGTGCTGGAAGCTGAACGCCGGCAGGACCTCCAGGGACAGCCCTTAGCTCCCGTGTCACATCTGATCCTTGTCCCTAGGTGACAGTGGCCAGCGGTGGCAGGAGGCCCCTGGAGCTGGGGTGGGCGCCCATCTCCCCGGGTTACCCGCCAAGTGTAGACTAGCTGTGAACGTTCTTTTCTCTTGTTCTCTCCCGCTGAGCTCCCACCTCCCCCAGCCTGCCTCTGGCCTGAGGGCTTCAGAACATCGGGGCAGGGGTCCAGGTTGCCGGGAGCCGTCTTCTCCTCACGGGCATTGTTGGAACCCAGACACTTGGGGTGCCGGGGCACGGGCTCCAGCCCCTCTCTGGGAAGGGCTGAGCCCGTCAGTCCCCTGGGGGCCCTACAGGGGACTCAGTTGCCACCAGAGGAGGGCTGATTCAGCACATCCTGTCCTGCCTTAAGAGAGATTGCGCCCGAGAGGCAACCCCGGAGCACAGGATTCAGGGCTGGGCTGGTGTGGCCGGGGGGGTGCCCGGGGCAGGCCTTTTGCAACACCCCGCGTCCACCCATCCGCCTGCACACGCACGGCCTCCCGTTCTGTCCGTGTTAAGCAGGACCGCCCCATGCCAGGCCCGCAATGGGGACGGCGTTAGTGGCTGTGGTCCACATGGCAGGCCCCCACCAGCACGCCACGGGACAGCGAGGGCAGTCACGGGGCTGGCCGGGGCCACTGTGCACGGGCGGTGGGCTAGACAAGTGTCCTGTTGACTGAAAAAAAAACAACACACAACCTAAAGGTTGAGAATTATGTTTTATTTTATTTGGCGGACAAAACTGAAGACTTAAGCCTGGGACGCAGCTTCTCAGATAGCTCTGAGGGACTGCTCCCAAGAGGTCATGGGGGGAACCAGCACATATAGGAGTTCTTGCAACGAAGACCAGGTAGTCAGAACATCAAAAGAATATTGTTAAAGAAACCAGGCATCGCAAGTTAAGGCATGTAGCGCTTTTCTGTGTATGGGAAGGTGCAAGAGTCTGGGCTCACTGAAGTCATTCCTTTACGATGCACTTCAGCTGTCAGGGGACCAGTATCCTGTACTTTCCCATCCTGAGTCTCCTCAGGGTGCACCGTCGGGGGCGGCTGCA